ATAACTTCCCATGGAAACCAAACTAAAAACAATTAGGAAGCAGGGGAAGCAAATGACATTTATTTCTTGGTGGATAGTTACAAAAATTACCCTGATTTCATTAGGCTCTGGAATTTTGGCTTATGTTTAATACCTCTTAACAACTGTATGAAAATGAATTTGAAATCACAATTATTTTGGAAAGGAGAGAGTGATAAGTTCCATTTGGTCCATGTCTAGCATGTGGGAATTTAGACTTAAAAACCTAAAAAACTTTTGCTCAAAAGAGCTATGTCCAGGGATTATTAAATACAGAGTGTAAGATCATATGCTCAGTGGCCTTTTCTTGGTAATAATTCTTTAACTTTCCTAGGAATGTAGATCACACATGCTTCCCCTTTAAATTATTATTTCCTCCTGCAGATGACTACCTTCCTAGAGCACATTTGTAATAACCAAGGAAAGGCTGACAAACAGAAGTTTTCTGACTGTTGCAATATAAATAACAAAGCAAGACTCAAGTGCTTCCTATTATACAAAAAAGATGATGCAGATTACAGTGACATATTCCAAATTCCAAATCCTGAGCAGATCTGTGAGATGGACAAAGTGAATCAAGTGTCAGTGAAGGAGAGGTAAGTCATTTCTCCTTGCCATACTCTCTGAAGAAGAGTGTTTTCCAATTTTGAAGACTGATCTTTTATATAAATATGGGCCTCCGAGAACACAATCCTTTATTACATGAATTAAGGTAAAAATTTGACCTACAATGTATATTTTTCTCCCTCAGAATGACAATTACAATCTCAGTAAACCTGACAGGGCATGAAAATGTCTGTTTGTAGAAACATTAAAAATGACTAGGACAAAAAAAATTTAAAAATAATTTTTACGAGGGCAATATAAAGGACCCATTTCCTTAATGGTTAGATTAGTCAGACCAGTAGCAAATGATGTTGAAAGGCACAGCAAGTAGGCAGAGCATAATAAACGGAGTACTGGGGACAGAGAGCAGGTAATAGGTCTGACAAGGGGCTGGCATTTGGGAGATTCATCAAGGGATAGCAGAGAGGGTATCTGATGGGCATGGAGAGAGCCTGTCATTGGGAACCTAAGAATAAGTGACAATTGCAGATTAGACAGAGATGAGTTTTCTACTCATAAAATCTGATTCTATAATTCCCACCTGGAGTGGACAGCATTATAGCAAATGGGTAGGCAAGCTCCTATTTTGTTTTCTAGTGAGCATAGAGGTCTATTTGTAAAGGGGTGTGAGCAAGTGGCTTGGAAACCAATGCCTAGAGAGGTAGAAATGATAAGAGAAACAAAAAACTTTAGTTCTCAAGGAATGCAATTCTAGCCATCTTATCAAGACAGGCTCAGACAACGGGAATAAGGCAATGACCTGATTGCTGGTTCTAGAGGGTAAGGAGGATGGTAGTGATTTGATTTCAGATTTTAGACATGAAACTTCAGACCAGAGATGAATGAGCAGACAGGGTGACTTGATGTTGAATAATGTAAACTCCTTTAATTCACCCATGTGGGGGCAGAATTGCCCCCGACATTACTGAGCCTTCAAAAAGAAATTAATTGGCCCTAGCCACTTAGGTAGAAAGGACTGGGGTGCCTGGTGGTTAGTCGGTTAAGTGTCCAACTCTTGGTTTCAGCTCAGGTCATGATCTCAGGGTCTCGAGATCGAGCCCTGCCTCGGGCTCTGCGGTCAGGGTGGAGTCTGCTTAAGACTCTGCCCCTCCCCACTGCTTGCATGCGTGTGTGTGCATGCGTGCTCTCTCTCAAATAAATAAATAAATCTTAAAAAAGAAGGGGGGAAAAGAAAGGACTAAGGGATGAGGACTGGGCAGGTTCCAACTTGTCTGACATCAGGGGCAACCAAATGGGAACCAAAATAGGACCCAGCTACCTATTTACTATCGTGCTTCCACTCTAAGAGAGAATTATAAAATCAAGTTTGGGTTGAATATTCAGAGATTACAAAATCTAACCAATACTCATGCAGTGAATCTAATCTCTTCTTGAATATTTACAATGAAGTCAATATTAAGGAATTATTTTAAATGCTAATCTTAACTTATGTGCAGACAACTATAATTATTCAAGGAAAAATAATTTTCTAATTATTTGTCTCATACTTATAAAGCAACAACTTCATTTAATTCTCAACCAAGGAAACAGTAACATACATCAGAGCTGGCTGGAAAAGTCAGCTCTTTCAGATTTTTCACAATATAGCGTAGTCTACAAATACACAAAACCATAGTTATTGTGCCTTTGGATTATCTAAGGAATTTTCAATAGCAGTTTTAATTATTGTAAGCTTCTATGGTAAGTCTGACGATAGAACCTGACTTCCAATCAAGCTTGACCCTATGTTACCTTACAATAGGGACATTCCATTTTTTAAATGGCTCTAATTATTAGAAAGCTTTTCCTTATACTAAGTTAAACTTTGGAGATTTGAAATTAGATTGGTTCATATTGAGTATCTTCTAAGGGAACTGTTACTGTAGCACAAAAATAAACCCTTAATTCAGCATACACAATAAAGAGCAGAGGTATTGAATGGCTTTGGTGAAATTTCATATTGACCAAAAATTTTGCCTTATGTTGGGAGGCATGTGTATGTTGATAATATCAGTTCTGCTTGTCTGTCCTGTTTCTACAAGTTGGGCTTGAGAAACTCTGCTGATAGAAGCCTATTGACTAAACTTCCAGGGGTTTGGGGCCCCTTGGGGAGAATGAGGAGGGTTTTTTGGGGGGAAGTGCAGACAGACTTTTTTAAGTCTTGCTAATGAATAATGTTCAGTTCAATTATTTGGCCTATTTTTCTCCCTCCATGGTTTGTGGATGATTTTTTTTCTTTTATACGTTTTTAAAAAGCAAAAGTAATAATCCCAGGATAAGTTAACTTTAGTTTGGTAGCAAATAATCTCTAATTTTCAGCATCTCAATATAATAAAAGGTGTTTTGTTTTTGTTTTTTTTCCCACTCATGCTATCTGTCCAATGTAGATTGGTAGGAGGTCTGCTTATCATAGTCACTTAGGGACCTAGGTTGACAAAGACACCATCTCAACACTTGCTCCTTTGATTGCTATGGCAAGGGAAGGGGATGATAGTAAATCATGCATTGCTTCTTAAGCTTGTTTAGAAGCAACACTCATCATTTCTTCTCACACATCATTAACCAGCAAGTCCCATTGTCATACGTCACCTCAGAGGGGGTGGGAATGCACAATCCTACCATTTGCCTGAAAGGAGGGGATCTGGAAATTTCTGGTAAACAACTCTGATGGTTACCACCTCGGCCATCCACCCACAAGAAAGATTTTGTACTTTTAACCAAAAGGAAATGTTACCACAGGATTGCTACACACCAGTTGTTAGATAAGGTCTCTGTTGATGTTTGGTTAGTGCTTCAGGTCTCCTGCGAATCTCTTGTCTTCTGTTATGGCACCACTCTTCCCTATCTGGTCAGAGAGCAGCAAGAAATAGTCTTCTGATGAAGTCACATATGGATATAGTCCCTGACCCCAGAAACTCTAGCCACCTTCTTGGGTGGGATTTTGTCTTTTAGACTCTGTAGCACTCAGGAATTTCTATTAAAATATGTTAAGCATTTCCTTGGCTATTTGTCATGAGATATAATTGCTTTTTCAATCATTCCAGGGAAGGCAACAGTAGAAATTTTTCATTTGACTTCAGCGGTTTCTGCAGCTGTATTCTTCTCTGGGATCCCCAAAGGACTTGAAGTTAGATTCCAAAGGAGCAGGCATACAGATTTATGTATTATCCAAGGAACTTGGGGTGGGGGCAAGTTAAAACATGAACCAAGTCCCTATTCTTTCTATCACTTCCTCCATTATCCTTTCCTTTCAATGTTGAAAACCTGGTTTTCTGGTGTCACCATTTTTCTGGTGATATTGGCCTACTTTACAGATATTACATCATAAACTTGCATTAAGGATAGTACTATAATAATCAGGATGGACTAAGCTGTGCTGTGGTCACAAGGAAATCCTAAATTTATAAATAAATCCTAAAATCCTAAATATTGGCTGGATTCAGTAAAGATTTATTTCTTTTTCATATCACAGTCTAAATTGGGTGGTTCTCTTTGGCTCTCTCTGGCTCCTAGTTGAATCCTGGGCATGATTTTTTTTTTTTTTCAGGCCTGACAGTAGGCAATTATGGATCACAGGCCTCAGAGGGGCAAGCTGCCCTTCCCACACCGGACTGGGACAAAACACATTTCAGTCTCTGAAGGAGCTGTAGTCACGGGCTGGGTTCCTTCCTCCCCCCATACCAGCCATGTTTTTGTGCATAGTTTCATTCCTAGCCCAGCCCTGCTGTGACTTCCTCACTGGGGGGATGGAGGGAGAAACTTGGACAGACTTCGGTGCACTTTGGCTCAGCACTCAGGGCTTTCCCACTCCCAGTCCTTTTCCCTCCCCTTCCCCCCTGCCCCAGGGTCCTTAAAACCACAGGAGCCTTTTGTTTGGGAATCCCGCAGGAGAAAGCCATCCCCAAGTCTGTGGTGCTCTACCTGATCCTCGGCTGGTAATGGTATGGGATCATGGAGGGAAAGTGGACAGGGGGAGAGGTTGGGGAGTCAGCCCTTTCTCCAGTTCAACCTCTTGCTCAAACTATCCCAATAAATGATTAAAGTCTTGAGTGTTACTTTTATTTTGTTTTAGTTGGCTACTCTGACACTTGGCAGCTCATCTCTCTCTAACTTGCCTCAGCTCCTGAGAATTCTCCAAGGGGTAACTCGGGAATGCAAGATGTTTCCATCTCTTTATTATCTGAAGCATGTGTTTCCCAGGTCACTGTGAAACAGAAAAAGAGAGCAGAGAACTGTGCTGAGACATTAACAGCCACACCTCAAAGTGGTGTGGAGCATATTCATTCATATTTCATCATCCAGAACTCAGTTACATGTTCTCAACCTAACTGCAAGGGAGCCTGGAAAAGGAGTCTCCCTGTGCGCACAGGAAAAGAAAATGGATTTGTGTGAGCATTGAGCCAGTTTTTGCCTGTAATGTCATCTTGTTGAATATTTTTGCATGTGTGTCTGTGGGGTCTTTTGAGCAAGCTTTGCAAAAATAGGAGGAGATATGTATTACAACTGAAAGGCAGAGGTGATGCCCCAGGTCTTCGAGGGTGAGGAATGAATGAACTAGAGAGGGAAATAAAGACAGGGGACTTAGTAACAAATCAAAATATTGAGGGGCATATCTTGGAGGACAATGGCCTTAACTTTCCTAGTCTAGAAAGAACTTCTGGATGATCTTGAGAGACTCCTCCCCCATCACTAATAGATTCTAAATTTAATCCTCCTGCACCAGCTGTACAATCTGGCATTTACAATTCAGTTTGGACTACTGAACTTTCTATCTTATACTTCTTATATAAAAATGACAAGTTTTAGTTACTTTTTCTTTCCCCACCAGCCTGGAAGTTACAGTTGGTCATTTCATGAGCATTCAGTGAATGTCTGACTAACTGTCCAGAGTGACGTGAACATGTGATGTGTTTATGTATCATGCTACCTCATCTCTTTCACCATGAAATTCTAGAAGTTCAGGTCAACAAAACTAGATGAAGAAACAGTGTTGGCACATGTTCTTGAATTCTAAATAACACAACCTCATATTTTCCAAATTACAGGTACATTTATGAAACGTCTCAAAAGCATCCATTCTTGTATGGACCCACTATTCTGACCATGTCTGCTTGCTATGAAACAGCTATTCAGTCATGTTGCCAAGAAGAAAATAAAACTGAATGCTTCCAGATAAAGGTAAAATATTCATATGTCAACTGTTATTTAGAGCCTTGCTCTGCAAAGTGTGGACTGTGGACCAGCAGCATATGCATCACCGGGCAGCTCATTGGAAATGCAGAATCTGAAGCTCTTCTCCAGATCTACTAAATAAGACTTCATTGTAATAAGATACTGAGGCAATTCATATTGTTATTACAATTTGAAAAGTATGGTTTAGCATAGACATTACTTCATCATAAGTATTTAATATTCAAGTTACTATTGTTGCATATCAAAACAATAAATCAAAATTTATTGACTCAAGCCAACAACAGTTATATTATTATCTCTCATGATTTTTGTGGGTCAGGAGTTCAGGAAGGGCTCATCTGGGCAGTTCTGGCTCATGATCTTTCTTGTGGTAGAACTCTGGGGAGCTGAAGCACCTGGGGGCTAGCTCAACATCGCTTTCTTCTCATAGAGTCTCAGGGTCTCTCCACGTGGTCTCTCTGCCTTGGCTAGTTTGGGATTGCCCACAGCATGGTAGCCTCAGGGCAGCTGGATTGCTTACATATAGCCAAAGTCTTCAAGAATGCATATTCTAGTGGCTAAAGCAGAAGTTGTATGGCCTTTTTATGAGCTAGCCTCAGAAGTTACTTCTGTCATACACTATTGGTTGAAACACCATAAAACCTCACCGGTTTAAAAAGGAGAGTATATAGGGCACCTGGGTAGCTCAGTTGGTTAAGCGACTGCCTTTGGCTCAGGTCATGATCCTGGAGTCCCTGGATCGAGTCCCACATCTCGCTCCCTGCTCGGCAGGGAGTCTGCTTCTCCCTCTGACCCTAACCCCTCTCATGTGCTCTCTCTCATACTCTCTCTCTCAAATAAATAAATAAAATCTTAAAAAAAACAACAGGAGAGTATCTATACTGTACCTCTTGATGGGAAGATTGTCAAGGTCTCACTGTAAGAAGAGCCCGGGATAGAAGATATCGCTGCAGCCATCATTGGAAAATACAATCTATCACACTTAATTTTAACCATGTGGCTTTTCTCTTTCATTGAAGAGATGTAAATCAGTGATTAGTTCTAAGATAAAAGTACTTTTCACGCATCTCCTTAAAGGTTTCAAATATCAACATAAAATGACCATCTTTACTAGAGAGGGCACCAGATGGATTTTCCAAAGGTTGTACTGAAATGAGTAGTAGTTTGATAGTCATTTTGATGAATTCAAGACTAAATGCAGTGCCACTTTATTCTTACTCTTTTCTTTGATCTTCTCAGTGCAAATTTATCTCATATTCCTCAAAACCCCTATTTCTCTATTCCTCTCAACCTATTTTTCCTATCGAGCTCCTCATCATCTACCTTAGATAAGAAATTAAATAATGTGTCTAGAGAGTTTCTGGCACATGCTCAGTACTCAATAATTATTGCTATTATCATTAAAGATATTATCATTATCATAGAGAGCTTTAATATATTACCTCCCTCTCTATTTGTCCCCTAGTGTCTTTTTCAGAAGTCAATTCTGAGTTCCTAAGCAGGACAGTCTTTTTCTCCTTTTAGGTTTGTATTAATGAAAAACAGAAAAACAAATGATCATGCAGACTTATATCTCATTACTTCACATTTCTAAAGAATGAACTTTTTTGTGGAGGTTAAGCTTTTTTTTTAAAGTAACTTGTGCTTACTCTTTTAAGTTTTCTTAATCTTAACACTTCTCAGTGGAGAATTTTCCTTAATGTATAACATGCCCCTATAAAGTTAGCCAAGAGTTCTTCCCTCTTCTACCCCACTTTATGATCTTTACAGTATTGCTGCTTCCAGGATATCCATTCCTAGTGGTTCTTGCTTATTCCTCAGAGAAAATGACATAACCAAGTGTATAAAAATTGTGTTTATGATTAGAGAATGTGGTTTATGAGTTAAGTCTTCAGAGACTCTTGAAGAAGTAGACAAGCTTGTTTATACTAGATTTTAAATGAGTATACTACAACAAAATAAAGATTAAAGCAGTAATTACATTTATAATTAATTATAAAATATAATTAGTTAAATTTAATAATAATTACTAAATTAAATTATAATTATTGTGCTAGTTTTATGGTTTGAATATTGCCTTTGTATATATTTTTTAACTTGTTCTTAAAAATAGCACTGTAAGGTATAGTTAGCCAAAGTAAAAATAATCTATGGTCATTATAATGTTTTAAGTGAAAATATAGAGCTGTTCTGAAACGTTAAAATATTACTAATATTCCCAGCACACAGAGATACCAATTTTAGTGTATTTCCTTTTATTCATTTTTCTATTCACAGATTTTATTTTGTACATTGTTGTGATCACACTGAATATCTAGTTTTGATTCGAGATTTAAATATATCTACTTTTTATTAGAAGTATACATTTTGTCAAAATTAATGTGCCATTATTTATTTATTTATTTATTTATTTGTTTATTTATTTATTTATTTTAAAGATTTTGTTTATTTATTTGACAGAGAGAGACACAGCGAGAGAGGGAACACAAGCAGGGGGAGTGGGAGAGGGAGAAGCAGGCTTCCCGCTGAGCAGGGAGCCCGATGTGGGGCTCGATCCCAGGACCCTGGGACCATGACCCGAGCCGAAGGCAGACGCTTAACGACTGAGCCACCCAGGCGCCCCTGTGCCATTATTTATTTTACCATCACTCTGCTGTTGAGACATTTTATTTGTCTCTAAAATGTTGCCATTGTAACAAAACATGCATGTTCTTCTTTTTTAATAGTTGTGTTTTTTTTTTTATGTAGAAGAATTTATTTGCGATAGTTTCCAAAGTAAAAATCCTGGTTTAAAAATTATGAACATATTTGGGGGGGGGCTTCATTAATGTATATTGCCAAACTGGAGCATATATTCTAGATAAGCAGGAGACATGTCCAAGATGACAGAGCTAGTAACTTGATAAAAACAAAATACAACTGTAAGACATTATTGAAATTTATTCTTGTGGCTCTCTGGATTTTTGGTTGCTCAATTTCATGTCTTCTTTTTATTCCAAATGTTTGAGGTTCTAGAACAAGTGATCTCTGGGAAGTAAGATGCTATTTTATAAAACAAACAAACCAACAAACAAACCACATTGTGCTTTTGCATTTGGTCTCTTTTAAATAAGACAATAAGGACTTTCTAATTTTGAGGAGATAAACAACTTTTACTTTACTTTCTCGTTTACTAACGACAAGAGGGACTTTTGCTGTTACAGACACATTTCTTTGATGAGTGTTTTTCTACTTACAGCTAGAACCCATCAGAAAATACGTTAGAGAAATATCTTTGAGGCATCACCATTTATGTGAAATTGGGATTAAATTCAACCACAAAGTAGCCAAAGCAGTGTAAGTTACTGATTGACATATGTGAACTCTGTTGCTGTTGGATCACCCCATTTGATCAAACTCATTTGACAATCGTTTTTTTTTTTCATTTAATAATGTCTCTCAATGCAAACCTGGTTCCTTTCTCTACAGCTATGCTACTTGCCTATTCAATAGGGCACATAGAGCTGGGCTTGAAACTACACAATCCTCATCTCTATCCACTGTCTCCTGCCTCAGTTTCTTCCATCTGCTCAGACCCCTTATCTCTGCCTTAGTGCACAAAAGATTCTATACATGAAGATGCAGGCTCTTAATTGTTCCACAGGCTCTTAATTGTTCTGCCTGATAAAACCTGGCAGACAAAATGTATTCTTTTCTCTGGGAAGATAGGAAAGATTTTCGCTCTAGTGTCCTGCAGAACAGAAAAATCTAGTGGTGTTTTGTGGGTGGGGATGGAAGAGTGTGGGGTGAGGAGAATTTGATCTTACTCAGTGTGCCTCTTTCCTGGCCCAGATTGTATTTCTGTCCAAGTTTACCTGTGAAGGGATGTATCCTTCCTTATATCACCTTCTTGCCTAATCTGGGACAGCATTGGGCTGGATGGAAGCTTAGTTCTCTTTATAAGGCAGGCCCATTTTCCCGATTGCCAGAGACATTTTGGGGATGTTGCTCAGTTGTCAACGGGAGAAGCAAGGGAGACCCAAGACTCTTAGAATTATTGTCTTTATGATGAAGAATTTTACTTGGAAAGTCAGGTCAGATAAATTTCCAAATTATCCGTCTAAGCAACTCAGCTTCTTAAGTGATCATTTCAATGATGAAAATGACTATATTTTGCATGATTATGAATTGAATGGTGTTTGTTTTGTGATTTAGATCTTTGTGTGGCTCTGAGTGCTATCGTGGAAGAAATGGAAGGCATTTAAAATATACTCTCTTCCTCCTACATTTGCAAATGTGTTTCTATTATTTTGGTTACTCAATGAACTAGAACTAATTTTAGAAGGGATTGAATTCAAAATACGGTTTAAGATGTACTTATTTTTCTTTCAGGGAATTGGTTCTGCTGACTAAAAAACAACCCAAAGCTGACTTTTCTGAAATTGCCAGGCTGGCCGTGGATACTAAAAATCTGCATCAGACGTGCTGTGAAGGAGATGTAGTAGCATGTGTACTTGGCAGGGTGAGAGCCTCTCCTTTCTTAAAACTCACCTCAGTCTTGAAAATCTTGCAATTCTTTTTTTTTTTAAGATTTTATTTATATGAGAGAGAGAGAGAGAGAGAGAGAGAGAAGCACAAGCAGGGGGAGGGGCAGAGGGAGAAGCAGACTCCCCGCTGAGCAGAGAGCTCAAGATGGGGCTCAATCCTGGGACCCTGAGATCAAGACCTGAGTTGGGGGCAGATGTTTAACCGACTAAGCCACCCAGGTGCCCCAAAACTTGCAATTCTTAAACAAAGGTGACCATGGTACGTCGTGAATCTAAAACAAAATAATGAGCATTTCTCAATCTTACCAGTAGAATTACCAGTCGTGTCTCCCCTCTTGTCTTGTCCCAGCTCAGGCAATGATTTTTTCTTCCTCCCTCCCCCACTTCTTTTCTCCCTCCACTCCTCCTTCCCTCCCTTTCTTCCTTACTTATCTTGTCTTTCTTCACTTTATTCTGTTATTCTTTAATTTTTAGAGCTGACCTCTAATTTCCTTCCAAACTGAGTTTATATTTTGTTCACCTTTGAATCCCAAGCAAGTCCAGGAATTGCAACCCAGAGCCCCAGGCCACATCAGCCTGGAAGAAAAAAGAAACGTCAAGAAAAAGATGTGGGCCTGAGGTTTGGGGGCACGAACTGCCCCTCATCCAAGTATAAAGTCTCTAAATCCCAGAGAAGGAAAAATTGTAACTGTCAAAAACCTGATGAGGCTTTGGTAAATCAGAGGTTACAAGTCATGTTGCTATTCATTCTGCAAGTTAGAAAATTAAATAATGTTTCATCATGATAAATAAAATGCAGCAACAAAGAAGGACTAGTATCATAATTTCATGGGGATGTCCATGACTCTTATGGACAGGAGCCCCCACCTTCAACTATTTTAGTCCCATTCCATGAAAGATTAAGGGATATGAGTAACTACAGGAATTAAAATAGAAAGGCATTGCATAGACACTCAGTAGCATCCCTCGGAGTCTATGTCCTCAACCATTTACGTTGCTGGAACAGAATTGGGGTCAGACCACAGCTCTTCTTTGGTACCTATTGTGGTTGTTAAGTCCATGTCATATTCAGCCCGACCACTGGGAAGGGTGGCCGTGGTCACCGCCCCTTTCATCCTGGAGATACACAATATAATGTTGTTCTTGAACTTCTCTCTGTATGGCAGGAATCCCAACTAGTGCTGGAAGAAACACTCCCCTGCATACTTAGAAGGAGTCCTGGCTTTTCAGGACAGACTACTAGAATGTTATTTATGTGAAGATTAGGTGAACTTGGGGGGAAGAGTAAAGAGAAAGTGGGGGCCTGACAGACTCAGTCATAATTAAAACAAAACAAAACAAAATCTCTAATATCCTTTAGCACATAAACAATACCTGTGCCAAACCAGCAACTCCATTTATAACTCTACACCTTGTCAGGAATGCCAGAACAATTGTTAACGATTTCATTGTATTAGCTAATATTCGCAAGCAATATAAAATAACTATAAATGGGGGTGCCTGGGTGGCTCAGTCGGTTAAGCGTCTGCCTTCGGCTCAGGTCATGATCCCGGGGTCCTGGGATCGAGCCCCGTTTAGGGCGCCCTGCTCAGTGGGAGGCCTTCTTCTTCCTCTCCCACTCCCACTGCTTGTAGTCCCTCTCTCGCTGTCTCTCTCTCTCTGTCAAATAAATAAATAAAAACTCTTTAAAAAATAAAATAAAATAAAATAAAATAATAACTATAAATGGTTCTAGCATTCCTATCTTGGTCCAGACTTTCATGGAAACAGGTTTAAAGTTACTGACTTGAGAAAGGTATTGTGTATGTGTTAAGAGATTTTTCATTCTTATTTTAGAGATTGGTTTTTTCTTTTTTTCAAAGATTTTATTTATTTATTTGAGAGAGAGTGTGCACATAAGCAGGGTTCGGGGGAGGGGAGAAGCTCAAGCAGACTCTGCGCTGAGCACGGAGACCAACAAGGGGCTTGATCTCACGACTCTGAGATGATGAACTGAGCCGAAATCAAGAGTCCCATGCTTAACAAATTGAGCCACCCAGGCATCCCAAGGTTGTTCTGTTTTTAATTAGGATGGATTCGTAACATTAGTAAATGTTCTTTTGTTTTCTTAGGATCATCATTTGATTTCCACTTAACTTATTCATTGGTGAATCATATTAAAAGATTTCTTAATTTTTAACCATCTTTAGATTGTTTACATCCATCTCATTTTGCTATATTTTGGATTTTATATATACATAATTTTCAAATTTCTGTATTTGCATTTACATGAACTTGATCTAGAACTTTCAGGTTTTGGTATTCAGTTATGTTACCTTCCAAAAATTGCACTGTTTTCCCTTTCAAAATCTCTGAAATAATGTAACAATATTGAGAATGACCTGTTTTGTGAAGGTTTGCAAGAACTTGTCCATGAAACTGGAGCAGGGATTGAGACAGAAACCGGTGTGACAGTCCTCATCATGATAAATGCACCCTTTCTACTGTTTATTTTTCATATTGATTTAATGATCTTATTATTAGAGTATTTCTCCTAATGCTTTTTGGAATGGTGTATGGATTATATACCTTTGAATTATAAGTTCTAGAAAGTTTCTTATACTTATCGGTGCTTATATCATTCCCTGATGCTTCACAATATCACACCCAACTCAAAAAGCACATAACCTTTATAATAGATGTTAATTTTTAATATTAGGTGATATGAATTAATAGGGCTTATAAGTCTATTATATCACTCAGTCAACATAATTAAATTTTACGTTGTAGGGTTCTCTCTCTTTCTTTGACTTCAAGGCACTATTGACCAACATTCTGGGGTTGTATAATAATTGCTATAGTACAAACTTTAAAAAAATAATTTCTGCATGCAGCCGCTAATTCTAAGCATTTCACTTTTATTCAGCAAACACTTTTATAGTACTTAACCTGGGCCAGGCTCCTTTCTTTGTTCCTAATAATTATTAATCCGTTTAGTTCCCACAAGCTTAGGAAGTATTACTTTAACCCCCATGTTATAGATGAGGAAAACTGAGGCATCGAGAAGCAAAGTAGCTTGCCTAGGTCACAAAGTTGGGAAGTAGCAAAGTCAAGATTAGAACTCAGGAAGTTTGACTTCAGAGCCAAAGCTGTCAAGCACTGCAATGATTTATTTTTCCAGTGATGACTGCAGAGGTGTGTCTAGAAGATGATAGGTGGTGGGAGAAGTTTTTTGAGTTGGAACCTCTGTGTTCTCACAATTTCTTTCATCAATTTTCTTCTCCTCTTCTGCTACCCTTTAAAAATTGGTATTCCCAGTAGATCTGTTCTTGGTCTTTTCCTTTTTTATTTTACACATGTAGTCCGAGATGACTGGCCTTCGGTTTCAGGAGTAGAATTCAGTGGTTCATCACTTACATACAACACCCAGTGCTCATCACAAGTGCCTGCCTTAATGCCCATCACCCTTCTAGCCCATCCCCTGCCCACCTCCCCTCTGGCAACCGTCAGTTTGTTCTCTATCATGAAGAGTTTTTTCCCCCCTATGTTCATCTGTTTCATTTCTTAAATTCCACATGTGAGTGAAATCATATGGTATTTGTCTTTCTCTGACTGACTTATTTTGCCTAGCATAATACCCTCTAGCTCCACCCATGTCATTGCAAATGTCAAGATTTCATTCTTTTGATGGCTGAGTAACCTTCCATTATATATATATACCACCTCTTCTTTATCTATTCATCAGTGGACACTGGGCTGCTTCCACAGTTTGGCTATAGTGAATGCTGCTGCTGTGAACATTGGGGGGTGCATATGTCCCTTTGAATTAGTATTTTGTATTCTTTGGGTAAATACCTGGTAGTGCACTTGCTGGATTGTAGGGTAGTTCTATTTTGAACTTTTTGAGGAATTTCTGCCCTGTTTTCCAGAGTAAGCCCCATCATTTCTCAACTACATTTTCTCAATAACCCCCAAAGATCCTACATATCATTTCCCCAAATATGTCATATAATCTCACTTCCAGGATTTTTTATATATAAAGATGAATAATTTGGGAATGTTCTTCCTCTTCCTTAGTTTCCAAGTAACTTTTATTTGTCCTTCAGGACTCATGTTGTTTAAGATCTTCACTCTGACCTCCACCCAGTCTGGATTGCCAATCTTTTTTCTTCCAAAGGGTCACATATGCACTTCTCCTACAACTTCTGTTATACTGTGTTATGATTGTTGTTTAATTATTTGACTCTCTAGTTAGACTGTGAGTTTCTTAAGTGCAGAGATTAATTTATTCATATCCACATGTACATAATTATTTGTGTGTGTAAGTAAATATGTTAAATATGTAAGCATAATAGTAATATTATAGCAGTATATGTGGTAAATGACAGAGACAAAATGTTTTCTAAACTGGAATCCTAAAACAATAACATTGATAACAAGACAATAAAACTCTCCTTTGTATCTTGTGGGGCCAACCATGGAAACAATACTCTAGTCGGCCTCCCCTTAAATTCCTTAAGAGATGTGAAAAGAGGGGCGCCTGGGTGGCTCAGTCGTTAAGCGTCTGCCTTCGGCTCAGGTCATGATCCCAGGGTCCTGGGATCGAGCCCCACATCGGGCTCCCTGCTCAGCGGGAAGCCTGCTTCTCCCTCTCCCACTCCCCCTGCTTGTGTTCCCTCTCTCGCTGTGTCTCTCTCTGTCAAATAAATAAATAAAATCTTAAAAAAAAAAAAAAGATGTGAAAAGAGCTTGTGACACTTGAGTGAGGTCAAATAGAGAAGACTTCCTTATTAGAACGAGTCACTATACATGACCTTTTGGGTCTCTCAGTTTGCCAAGGATAAAGCAATAGAAGATGCCAAGTTCTTCTCTGGTTTTCTAGTAATAACAATAAAAATAAATAAGTTCAGAATGAAGTCATCAAAAACAACTGCTCCTTTTGATGTTTTATAGAGCCAGCTTATGACCTATACTTGTTCCAAGCAGTCGGTCCTCTCCAGCAAAATCAGCCCATGCTGTGCGCTGCCGGTGCCATTCCAAGGGGAATGCGTTATCAACTCAGAAAATGACGATGAACCTGATCTTCCATCTTTGCCACTCAGCAGATTTACAGAAGACCGATTTGTATGCGCACAGTTCTCCAACAAGCCAGATGATTTCCTGCAAGAGTAATACAGGTTTTTGTAAAATCTTCGTAACGGAGTACTATATTTATGGACTTTTTGGGAAGGGTTGTAGACTTGAATGATGACAGAGGCTAACCCATGATGTAAATGAGTGACTCAAATTGTTCAAGAGGAGATGCTTGGTGGAGTCAAAAGTGGCAGCTACTTATTCAGCTCCAGCCACTTGTTAGCATATGGGAATGTAGGCTTGGGGTAGTTGGGTCTTCTATTTTATTTTATTTTATTTTATTTTTATTTAAATTCAATTAATTAACATATAGCATATTACTAGTTTCAGAGGTAGAGGTCAATGATTCATCAGTCTTATATAACACCCCGTGTTCATCACATCACATGCCCTCCTTAATGTCCATCACCCAGTTACTGCATCCTCCTACCCCCTTCCCCTCCAGCAACCCTGCATTTTGAAAGAAGCTGGAAGCTGCTTGATTTTTAAGTGTTGACAACTAATACAGAATTTTTTAAAACACAGTGAGGGTCAAGTATTTGCAAACTTTGCTCTAAGGTACTCATCCCTAAGGAATGGCTTCAGATTGGTATACCTGGTGAGCTCTTCTATTTTAATTAATTTAATACCTACTACCAAAGCCATGGTGTGGCATTTAAAGATTAGAGAGATGGAATATTAACATCTCAGGTGTCCATTCCGAAATGCATATTAATTTGTGCAAGACAAACTGATTTCTGTATGTAATATTAAAACAATATTGCTGTGTGATTGAAGTATTTCCAAAGTCACTTTGTGAAGCATTATTTGGAGCAATTAAACTCCAACAATGCATAAGAATTTGAGTTTTCTTCAAAGCTCTTTGTAGAATGACTTGAGCTATATTTCTGAAATTACATTTGATATGGCTTATAAAAGTAAATGTCACTGCCGGAACCCACTCATTCCTAAACTTGCATTTGGTACTGGAAAAGTCGATAGGCACAACTTCCTATTGGAAATCACATTAAGCTATGAGTTGGGAGACCAGATTTCCAAAGACTAGCTTTGTCATGCATAAACTTTGGAATGTAGGTCAAGCCACTTAATTTCCTTAGGCTCTTGCGTTCCAGCTACTAACTAAGGGGTTGGATAAGATCACTTCAAAGGTGCTTGTGATTCCTTCGTAAACATTCTAGGGTCCAGATTTCTCTTTCTTGTAACCCAGAAGAATGTATAGATTATGCTTGGACCACTCCAGCTTGAAAACTTAGCTGGAAAAGAGGGGAAGATGATGATTTAATACCTAGCTAGCGCTTTCTATCAAAAAAAAAATTCTAATACTTATAAAATCTAGCCTCAAAGATGATTGAGAAAAGTGTGCTCCCATCCAAATACTGGAAATTAATTTCTCATAAAAGTAAGTAGTGACCCTGAGCCAGAAACTATCAGCTTATCAGATTGTTTTGGTTTCAAGTTCTGAATCTGACACCACTCCTGTGTGACTTTGGAAAAATCACGTAATTTTATTGATTCTGTTTCTTTATCTCAAAATGTAGTCAATTAAACCTCCCTGCCATCCTCCCAAAGTTTCCAAATGCCTAAAATCAGTGAAAATATTGAATATTTTTCATAATCATAATTAGGTTTTGAAGGAAAACTCATGGCTTCTGAATTTTACTGTTTCATATGGATACAGGTTTCTTTATGAATATTCAAGAAGACATTCAGAATTGGCACTTCCTGTGATTTTAAGAGTGGATACGGTATATCAAAATTTATTGGCAAAATGCTGCAAATTAGAAAATCCTCTGGAATGCTATAGCCATGGGGTAAATGCCTTTTTCTTTTTTAGCTTGTTACTCATAGGTGATTACCGACATAGGAAAAATTCCTGGGCTGTTGGTAGCGCCATATTTTGTAAAAGGATTGTGCGCCTTCTTGCTAATTGCCAACACTGCACAACAAATATGACTTTCATCTAAACCAAAGGCCCCATCATCATACTATAGCAGGTCCCTAGGTGAGTCACTGTCATAGATTCTGTGCTTCATGAAACGTTCTCTGTACCATCTTCCCTTTTAATGAGTGTCTGCTGGGACCCGTAGCAGATGGCATGAAAGCACAGCGTATTAGGGTATGAGAAGATGGACTATTTCCACTAAGTAGTCCTGGAAACTGTCCCTGTTTCAGGCCAGAAATCATACTGTTCACAGGCAACAGCTCTGTTTGTGCATCTGACATGAAAAAAGCAGGTGACCTTACATATGTGACTAGATGATCACTTATCCATGGATTACCAGGAACCAGGTTGGTTCTGGCTTATGTTATTCTAAGCAATGGCTTACATATTTACAGAGGGTGGGGTAGTGGTAGAGTATTGAAGGCATCTCTTGTCCTGTCTGGGCTCAAGCAGGTACATCTATCACATTTCTGTTCCCAGAGAGAAGGATCAATGAAGGTAATTTATTCCCCTGTGGGTGAGCACCCTTTTTACAGCATCCCCAGTAGACCTCCACAATAATCATTATGACAATAGCACCTTACAGGAGCATGGATGTTTAGAGTTCACAAAGCAACTTTACAACCAGTGTCCTATTTGATCCTCACACCAGCCCAGGAACATAGGTAATGCCAGAATTATTAACTGCATTTTGTAGATGAAAGTATTGAGTTGTAGAAGGTTTAAAAGACTTGCCCAACTTCACACAGGCAGTAAGGACAAGGCTAAGGGTTAAATCCAGGCAAACAGTTTGCAAATCTGGTAAAATTTTCACTGTAACAAACACTGCTCAGCAAGATCAGGTACACTGGGTCAGATTAGTTAGGATGATAACCTGTCCTCCTACTGAAGAACTAAGCCTGAAAGGTCACTTGTATTTTCCCACTGGAATTTTATGTGCACAGTTGAAGAACTCTTTGAACTAGCAGTTAGTTCCGAGATTTCCATTTGATTCACTTCACTATGTATTTGTGGAGTGCTTTACCATATTAAAGGCTGCTGCATGTTTTTATTAAACTGTGACTTCTTAACACGTATCTGTATTTCTATGCCTATATCTGTATCTCTGTATTTGTGCTGTTAATGAAAAAGGCTGTATTATGAAATATAACCAACACTCTCTGACCAATCCAACTTAGAACTGTAAACTACCTTTAAAGATCTCTTTGGCTCGATGAATGATTTGCCTTATGCTTGTATAATACACCATATCAACCCACAAATGAATTTATATCATCAGAAACTAAATATCAATCTTGTTGTACCACTTCTTTTCTCCACAAAGTACATGGCCATTCCTGTTTTACCAGAACGTGTTTTTCAAGATTTGCAAGCTCACTAAGTAAATAAAGCCCTTGGCTTAGGAAAACAGTTACATTAAACTATCAGGGTTTTGCAATCTTACCTCAAGATATATTGTTACAGTGATAACACTGATTATCTTTATTTTCCAGCAAGAGATGTTCCAAAGAGTGGTTCGTGAAAGCCGTGAGCGTGTAAAACATCACTGTGATTTACACGAGAAATTAGGAGATGCTAAATTCCATGACTGGTAGGCTTCCAAGATATTGTCCAGATTTGTGCTTGTTAGTGAGTTTGTGTTAACTCCTGATGCTGAGAGCTGCTAAGATTCTACAACCAACCTTGAAAGCTCAGAGGCCAAGGAAAAAATGAGTTCAAAATTAACCTAGCTATCTTTGTCTTGATAATACAGATGTCCACATAGCCTTAGGTGTTTCTACATGGCTTTCCAAGCCAGTTTCCAGATTCCGGCCAATATCCAGAAGTTAGGGAACCAAGCAGGCCCTGGCTGCTTTCCTGCTGTCTCTTTGGGGTCTTCTCCCTCCCACCTAGACATTTAGTTAGGGCTTTGCCTGCAGTGGTAGGATCCTTTTGTCAGTTTCAAGTCTGGTCATATAGTAAATTTAGTACTTTCACCATGGAGGGTAGAGATGAATAGATACCTTAGCTATTTGCCAGAGAGAATACATAAGCCTCTTGTGTGCAGAGAGACGATATTTCAAAGATCACTATGTCAAAAACCAAAAGCCAATTTTTAGTAATCTTTAGGGTCTTACTGTAATAGTCTATTTAGTAGAGTGTTGAGGAACAAATCAGTTTGATATAGTGTCCCATAAATTCAACTTGAAATTGATGTCGTTTTAAGACTCTACTTACATCACATTTGCTACTGTCCCATTAGCCAAAGTAAGTCATATGGCCAAGCTGAGTCAAGGGGTAGAGAAATAGACTCAACCTCTTGATTGGAGGATCTGCAAAATATTGTGTCCATTTAAAAAACATATATATATCATACCACATGACTTGATTTGGCTAATGAAATGTGAAAACTTTGGGGGCAGAAGCTTTAACAACCAGTGCATATTTTTCTATTTTCTCCTTTCCTTCTGACACAATATCCAGATACATTTGAGATGGTAGCTGATCTATCTGCCTTGGTTCCAGATAAGCAAAACCACCAGGCCAAATTGCACTGGACATATGGCTTGAATAAGAAATAAACCTTTGTTTCTTTTTTTTTTTTAAAGATTTTATTTACTTATTTGACAGAGACACAGTAAGAGAGGGAACACAAGCAGGGGGAGTGGGAGAGGGAGAAGCAGGCTCCCTGCTGAGCAGAGAGCCCGATGTGGGGCTCAATCCCAGCACCCTGGGATCATGACCAGAGCCAAAGGCAGACGCTTAATGACTGAGCCACCCATGCGCCCCAAGAAAAAAACCTTTGTGGCTTGAAACCATGCAACAAAGTTGCATTTTTTGTTATTACAAAACCTAGTCTATCCAAACTAATACAAAAATTGTGCAGGAATTAAAGTGATATCTTAAAGGAATAAATAAATAAATAAATACATATATACATACATAAATAAAATTAATATCCAGAATAATGGATCCAGAAAAAAACTATTCTTTCAGAAAGAATATTTGGCTTATTACTTCTATATTGTGTTCATTTGCTAATGTCTAGTTTAAGGATTAGATCTGTGGTTCTCAAAATTTAGAGTGTATCAAAATTACCTGGAGGACTCGTTAAAACGCAGCCCCATCCCCAGAGTTTCTCATTCTGTAAGTCTGAGATGAGGCCTGAGAATTTGCATTCCTAACAAGTCCCCAGGGCTGCTGATAACTGCTGGTCCATGAGTCACACACTAGAACCACCAGATTAGGTTGCCTGCTCATTGGATGTTACAGCTAACTTCTTTCCCCAGCTCCATTATAATATAAAAGCAATGATTGATTCTGATTTTTTGTTGTCTTCAAATCCAGGTCAGTAGAGTCTTTCTCCTTAAAATCTTCCTCATATCCCTCTATTCCCACCACCACTATCCTAGTTGAATCTATCATTGTCTCTCACCTGGATTTCTGGAATGGCCTTCAACTACTACTTCCCTCATGTTGCTTCTTGCCCACCTTCATTCATTCTTTATATGGCAACTGTAGTTATCCTAAAAACGAAGCAAATCTGATTCTGTAACTAAGCTTTCTTCCTCTTTCTGTCTCCAATCCCCAATTATCACCCCCAAACTCCACAAAACAAAACCATAATCACATTCAATGTCTCCCCTCCCACTTTCACTCCCCTTCACCAGGTTCATTTTTTGTTATTGTTAGATCTCAGCCCACCTGCCATTTCCTCCAGGAGGCATGCCTGACCTTCCTGAGATGGGATTAGATGCCATTCTCTGTGCAGCTACAGCGCTCTAAATTCCTGTCACTACATTGAGTGTTCCGGCTATCTCACCCATTAGGATGTGAGCCCTGTGAAATTAGGGCCTGTTTGCTGATTGTTGCTGCCCCCTTATTACACTGTAGACACCAACACAGGCTGTAAGAGCCTGTGTATACATTTATTTCAGAAGCTGTTTATTAAGTCTGATTTTGCAGCCATCCAAATTAGCTCTCACAGTATCCTTGATAAGTACCCCCCCCCCAAGCAAAGGATCAGGGTGGAGTAATGTGTGAGGTGTGAAGAGAATTCTAGGTATATTGAATAAGTTCTTAGGTCATTGGAATAAGGACTAAAAAGAATTAAACTTTGTTTAATGTTTCATTCAACCGAAGCTAGAGATTGTCAAATACTGAGGAAACTCTAGAATTCTTCATTTTAGGCACATGGTCATTGCCAGGAATAAGAGGAAATTATTCTTTCAGGCTCATAATCCTTTATACTAAGAAAACCCCACAACTATCTGCTCAGGAGTTGGTTATGTTCACAAAGAACATGGCAGCCGCTGCCACCAAATGTTGCCCACTGAGAGATGAGCAACAATTTGCCTGCATGGAGGACTCGGTAAGTCCGTCTTGACTTCATGTTTGCCTGTTCTTGAAGTCCTAATCTCTAGCCTCCAGCAATCAATCTCAAGTTTGTGGACACATCATGAATTGTCAATGGAGTTTAATATTTCTATCCCCAGGAGACCTTCTTTTAGGCCAGCTCATGCCAATTGTCTCGATTAGCAGCAGAGGTAAGACTGTTACTTCTCTAATGGTGGTGATGTCAGATTCAACAAGTCTTTACCTGGATCATACTCCACGGTCTAACTCTTGGATTTTCAAGCCAACAAAATTGACTTTGTCAACAACTTCAAAGAAAATGCTGATTTTAGACTAAGTCATCCTAATCAAATGTATAGGAAAAAACAAAACAAAACCAAAAAATAGTCACCACACCTCTGACACCAGATGTTTTTCCACACAAGAAGCAATTTTCTGTGACACCAGCTGGGTGTCCTACAATTTAACTCATTCTGACAAGTCTATCTGGAGATGACGTCAGATTCCACAGGTTAAGGGCTCAGTCCTACAAGACTGCTCCCATCCCACTTCAGATAACATTTGCAAGTCCAGGTTGTCCCCTGTGATTTTGACTAACCAGCTATAAATCTAAGGTTCCCAGGATCTCCTTCTCAGGTTTGATTAATTTGTTAGAGCAGCTCATAGAACTAAGAGGAATACTTACTTAAGTTCACCAGATAGGTAAAATATTTGATAAAGGAAAATGAGAACTTCCAAATGAAGAGATACTTAGGGTGAGGTCTGGGAGCATCCTGACTGCAGAAGCTTCTGTTCCTGTGGAATTGGGATGTGCCACCTTCTTAATATATGGATGGGTTCACACACTTGGGAGCTTTCCAACGCCCAAACTGTTGGGATTTTAAAAAGCTTCCTTATGTACACATGATCAATTATTAATTCATTTCCAGCCCATCTCCCCTCTCTGGAGAATGGGGGGTGGGGTGGGGCTGAAAATTCCAAGCTTCTAATCATGGCTTGGTCTTTCTGGGACCCAGCCCCCGTCCAGGAGCCCACCCAGAGTCACCTCATTAGAACAAAAGATGCTCTTAATTCCCTTATCACTTAGGAATTTACAAGGGCTTCAGAAGACCTTTGTCAGGAACTGGGGTCAAAGATCAAATATTTATATTGTCTATTATCTCACATCAAACTCACAAGTGTTAAATTTATTAGACAGAACACCACCACTGTGTTCATTTACAATGAGAAATGTCTTTCCAACGGCATCAATAATTGGGCCTAATAACTAGAGTACACTTTTTCCTGAATCAAAATACTTAGGAAGCTGAAAGAGAATATGGGTAGTTGTGCAAATGGAATCAGAAGAAGGGAAGGGATGGTCTTAAGGGATATTCTTCCAGGCTATCCTGAGAAATGAGAAATTATGTCTCCCTCACAATGGAGAACATCCCTCCAGGGACCTGTATGCTCATGTCTCCAAGATGTAGTCTCCAGGTCTCTCTCAAGTGGTATTATTTTAACACTACTGAATTCTTATTTGGTGACAGTTTTCTCTGCCCTAAATGTTCTTGATAAAACATGTCCTTTATGCTAAATTGGTCTTTTTTGTGATAAAACATAATTTTTTTGATTGAAGATATAAAAAATTTTATTATCTAGCACTGTCTAACTTTTATTTTATTATAAATTTTTGTTATCTAGTCATGCCTTCCTTGGAGAACTCTTTCAATTAGACTTACATGTTTCTAAAGCCTTATTTTTAGGTGATCTCTTTGGTTACATTTGAAATGGATAAACTCATACATGAAATGTTGATGCTTACTGGCTTCAATTACTTCATTCCCAAATACGTAAATGATTGGGAATTTGGGGAGTCATACTTGGAAAGGCATACAGGCGGGCTTGTAGACAACATCAGGATAAGAATCAGACACACAAGGAGCAAAGCAAGGTGACATTTCTAGAAGAGGACAAAGAAATGAAGGTGATAACTGAACTAGGATCCAAAGATTTATTTCATCATTCATTCATTCATTCATTCATTCATTCAATAAATATTCATAGAGCATTTACCATACGCCAAGTTCTGTGGTGTTTACAGATGTCCAGTTTTAGAAAATAGAAACAAATTGGATTTGAGCTTCTTAAGTAAGAACTCCACTTATCAATTATACTTCTGAGTCAAATTAGCAGTGGTGTTGACTTGAGGCTTGATTTTAATTTAAAAGAGCATAAGAAACTCCTATCTTAAGTCAACACTGGTCTACAAATTGGACTGGGAAGGAACCTGGAGGTGGAGTCCAAGTGAACTCAACTTGAGGATGAGGGGAAGAGGGAGGACAAATCTGGGAACCAGGCTGCATCTGACACTCCTGCTTTTTCCCAAACAGTGAAATCCAGGCTGAACTAGAAGAAACCAGAATTTGAGAATCTTTATGAGTCTTGTTTTCTATGGAGTAAAACAAAACAAAACAAAACACAAAAAAATGACCTAAACCTTATGGCTCTTATTTTAATTCTCTTCTGGGAAAGGCAAAACTAATTCTTGGAGGTTTATGCAGAAGACATGAGGCAGAGCCTATCAATGCTGGTGTGGGCCACTGCTGTGATGCCTCCTACGCCTTCAGGAAGCCATGCTTTGATGATCTGCAAGTCAACGGAACTTATATTTCTCCGCCTTTATCCTGTGACCAAGTCATCAACCTTAAAGAGAACTTGTGCAAAGCTCAGGAGGAGGAATTCCAAACTGAAAAGCAAAAGTAAGAATACTTGTTTAATTTGTCCTTTAATTTGTTCTGCCCACAAGGGAGCAGGTATAGAGAACTGTAAACTGGGCTCAGATATAAATATTGCATAATGAATGGATCAGCTAAATGTTATGTTAGAGGTCAAGTAGAATGGAGGATATTCCTGCAGTTTTGCAATATGGCTATCATGGTTGCTACCCCAATTAGATCAGCTAATGAGATGGAAGTCTATGATCAGAAAATATTGACAGAGAAGTACATTAATTTATTTTTCCTAAAATGGGAAATTTGGAACATTTGTACGTGTGTGTGTATGATATATACATATGTAATGCATTGAAAACATTTATAAATTAGAAAATTTTATGAATATAAGTTATTACTTTGCAAAGTGCAATTTGGATTTGGTTGCTCTTTCCAATACTGAAGCCTATTGGTGAGAAATGTTACCAATAGAATACAATGTCTATACGTTCGAGCAAAGTTTCCCAACATGTGTTCTATGTAGAAAGGGCTTCTGGATGAAGTCAGCAATAGAGTCTGTGGGTTGACTGGATGAGTCCGTTGACCTGGGCCAGCCTCAGCCATTCTCAGCTGGGCTTGCTCAAGAGTGTATGGTCAGCTGCTAAGTCAGCTGGGAGCTGGCTGGCCAAGGCTGGCCTTGGCTAGGACGGTTTGTCTCTGCTGCACGTGGTCTTCTGTCCTCTGGCAGATTAACCTAGGCTTCTTCACATGGTAGCTGGGAGAAGGTGGATGTGTGGAGGTCTCGCGAGGCCCAGGTTTGGAACCATGCAATGCCACCGATGCTGTAAGGTAGGTCATAGGGCCAGCCCAGATTAAAGTAGGGTATGGAAATAGACTTCATTTCTTGATAGAAAGAGTTGGAACATCACATTGTAAAGGACATGGATACAGATAAAGATGGATAATTAGTCCATTTTTGTAATCAATCTGCTGCCTGTGGATCATTAATACAGTTGTTGAAACTACAGAAAATGATAAATGTCAAGATAATAGTGGAAAGAGAGGTGATACACTGGGTCTGAAGTCATCAAAAATGAGGGAAAATGACCAGACTTTCTATATGAGGCAGGAATAAGTATCGATGAGGGATGTTAGAATTTGATAATGTGAACTTCAAAGGAGCTATGGCTTTTCAAAGAGGATGAAGAAGGGATATCCTGGAAGTAAAAGAGACCTAGATACTAAGGTAGGAGTTCAAGCAAAACAGCCTCCCCTTGAAAGGTCCTGGGGGAAGCTGTATCCTCTGGGGAGCCTCATGTTTTCTGATAGAGCAAGACAGAGAAGTTCAGAAGAGAAGCTGTGGATAGAGGGACGTTTTCTTGAGAAAGCCTCAAGTGACAAAAGAGACAGAGGACCAGGAGAGCAGGAGATGGGTCAGATTAGGGGTGTAGAAACCTCAGCATGGTGACAAGTGACCTGGGAGACTCAGATTTCTGAGTGTGACTGAGGCTGAGGTGACTGAGGTGTCACCGGCTTGGCTTTGGAAGTAGTGCATCAGCACACATAACTTTAGAGCAGCCGATTTGCCCTTTGCCACTGAGAGCATAAGGTGATTAAGATCTCACAGGTGGTTGGCATTTTCCCCAGTTCTCCCCACTCCTGCGTAGATGGATTGAATGGAACAGTTATTGTCAGCTCTTAGAAAAGAGACTTCTTGTTTGCTGCTGTAGACAAAGAATTTCCTTTCTTAGCAGCATCAATCATCCATCTCTTCACTTCCATTCCACTCCTGAGCCTGGAGGAAAGATACTCCCATGGTCCAGGCATTTTCCCCTAGAATGAATTCGGCTTCTGGTGAGTGTGCTGTTAGAGGCCCCATTTGGAGATGACCAAAGGTGACCATTCTAGGAAAAGCCAAAGGGTGAAATTCTGGTTTCCCTGAATCAGCAGCATGCATTGATAGCACTCCAAGCCCCCAACGGTGGGGCAGTTCCCTTCTAGTGCCCCTGCTCCTGTCCTCAGGAGAAAGCAAGTGAGCCCTAGTCCTCATTATTCCTTCTCCCCCAAGATCATTAGAAGTGGTAGCTTCCTGTATTTCTAATTCATTTATTTACTCTAAGACATGCACTTGCAGGGTCTAAATATTCCGAGTCCAACAATATATCTTGCCAAGTGAGGCAAAGTTTTTGTTGCTTCCAGAATGACACATACTCCCGGGCAGCAAGCACAGGCTGTTGCTTGCTCTGTTTTATCACAGCACTTGCAATTCTTAAGCCAGCTGACCCTTGGAATCCTTCCTGCAGTTGTCAAGGTGAGCCAGTCCTAAACTAGACTTTAACACTTCCCAGGAAACCCCCAAAAACCATTGTTAACATTTAGTCAGCCATTCTTTTGTTCGCTCAGGCTGGATGTGGGAATGTAGGAGAATGAGGTCTCTTCTAGTGTGCACATTTGCCTTCTCTTGAGCAAGTTCTCTGGGCATAGATAGGCACCGCTTTATGTATGGCATCTCACCAAATCCTTACCATAAATTTATAAGGTAGATAATATTATATGCCATTTTAATTATAAGGTAATTGAAGCTCAGAAGGCAAGAAGACTTGGTATGAGATCATGCAACAGGTAAATAGGTCGTTGAGCTGGAAAATTCACCCAAGCTATCTGGCTCAAAGCACATATGCTTTAACTACCAACATATAGCTTTTAGTGTGCCCTAATCAAGGAATTATAATACTGGTTATAATTTTAAAACACTGAACTCTTGGGGCGCCTGGGTGGCTCAGTTGGTTAAGTGTCCAACTCCTGATTTCAGCTCAGGTCAAGATTTCAGGGTTTTGAGTGCATGGAGCCTGCTTAAGATCCTCTCTCTCCCTCTTCCTCTGCCCCTCCCCTCCTACTCACACCTGCGCTTTCTCTCTCCCTCTTAAAATAAAATAAAGTAAGTAAATAAAATAAAATAAAATAAAACACTGAGCTCTTAGATAAGGGCTAAATAATAAAAAGTATGAAATATTAGGAATCATCCTTGTTCTAGTGAATTCACTGTGTTCTCTGTATGGAGAAAACAGTAGCATGGAAACAGTTAACGTAGAGATTTCTGGAATATTCTGTGAGAATCCATGTTAAGAGTCAAGGGTCAAATTGGAAAAAAAACAAAAAACCTCTTACTTTCTGGGATAGTGGCAAGGGCTCTCTATGGCTTTCTTACACTTATAATTTGGGCTGACCATCACAGCATAAACGCAAAAACAAGAAAACAAAAAAACCGGTGAAGGGGCTTCGGGAGGGGAAAGAATAATTGAGCAAGGTAGAAGAGAAGGTAGAAATTGAGATCATGTAATAAGATAGAGATAGTCAAAGGGAAATAGAAGTTCAAAGTAAAAAAAAATTTAAAGTCCAATTAAAAAAATATTGAGTTGAAATGCGAAGATTTAAGAAAGTATATAAAAACTAGAATGTGTTTTAAATGAAATGGTGGGTAAATTTAATGAAAATGAAAAACTGAAAACAAGTTGATGGTACTGAATTAGAAATAGGATTTAAGATGTAAAAAGGTAAATTAAAAATTTTAAGCTAAAAAATAGAATTAAGGGAACTATTTTTAAATAACAGTGGTCAGGTTGGTAGGCAGGGAGATCAGGGTGGGAGAGGGCGGAAGTGGGCAGGAGAGGTAATTCAACTGCAAGCAGATTACAAGTGTTTGACAGTTTCTGTGGGGAGGGAGTCAAGCTTCTAAGTGTCACAGAGTCCCCAGTTGTAGAAATGACCGCCTTTATGTCTGGAGTTCCAAGGAGGGATAACACGACCTCCTGATATCCCTGCTCTGAATTTCATTCCCAGACCTTCTATCTTCTCATAATGGGAGACTTTTTCCCCCTTGCCTATTCCAGTACAATTTGGATGTTTCTCCTGGTTTAAATAAGCAGCTGTTGGCTGATGTTCTGGAAACCCAGCAGTCTTGCTCGTCTTCCTCCTACTGGTTCCTCTGGGGAAGTGTATTTGGAAATCAGTCCACCCAGCAGGGGAAAGAGGAAAGCATAGTGGAGTGGTTCAGTGTGACTTGGGAGGGGCCAAGCCATGAAGGCACTTGGATCCCACAGCTTGTAAGTGAGAGAAGAAGAGGGTATAGACAAGGGAGCTTTCCTGCCTCTCCCATTAGGTTTCTCTGTTACTGTTGAATCTACAGCTCAGATCCTCAGGGAAATTGTAAAGATGCTCATCAATCATTTGCTGAATGAATAAATGAATACATAGGAGAAGGGCTGTGAATATGTACCATTTATTGTGAGAATCAAGGAAGAAGGAGACCATGGTTGGAAACAACTGATAATTTGAAATGGAAGCAAGATGTGCTGTTATTATTATAATTATTCATCATTACTATTACCTTTGCCATTATTTATTGCCTGGACTATGCCAGTTACTGTACTCAGCCCTTTAATACGTTACTTTGGGTCTTTACAAATGCCTTGGAATGTAGGTGTTCACATTTTCTTTTTATAGATAAAGGTCAGAGAGGTTAAGTACTTCACTCACCATCACACTACTTAGTCGAACCGAAGTAAGTTTGACTTCAAAGTTTGTGCCCTTTTTATGACAAAAGAAGGAAAGAGAAGTCCAGATTTTGCATGAACTAGTAGTAAACTCTGTCTCCTTCCTATACTAGCTCCTGCCCTTTGGGTGCTGAACCTCCTAAGCCAGATCATAGAAGCCCCAGTTGCAAGTTTGGAGATGGGGTATTTCCACAATGTAGGCTCCCGTGACAGGTAGTTTCTATTACCTGGGACTTCAGCAAGCCTATGCTTTCAAGGATTGGTCAGTGAATCTCCATATCATTTTGTAGGAAAATACATTCTAAGACAAATTGCACCAAACGCCAATGGAAAATAGCCTGTATTTCTCACTTTTACTAATTAGTTTCTTAAACACTGATAATGATTATTCAAAGGTAGTGGAAACTAGTTTGATGATATATGTAACCATACAGACTTGAATTATACAGAGATACTTAAAAACAAGTACAGCGTTTTCTTTCAAGTGAGATCAAGTTTAGGTCTAATTAGAAGATTAACTATGTACAGAAGAGTTGGAGAGAAAAAATAATGTTTATACTATTCTATTTCTTTTTAAAATATTGATTTCTGTTGCTATTAAAGTAATGCATAATCATTGCAGAAAATTTAGAAAATACAGAGAGAAGAAAATCATTAACACTTTTATTCCAACACTGCAGAAGTGCCCATTATAAACATATGTGTAGTATAAGAATATATAATGTCACATATGCATACAAGTGCACGCTCCCACAATTACCCTTTGTCCATCAGTCTATGGTTCTAATATTTAATGAGTTTTGCACAATCTTGCGACTAGCTGCTTATACAAAATTTCGGTTCCAAGCAATTATCCCTAGAGTCCGTGCTTAGGGGAGAGCTGAGGAAACTCCCTTGACCCTCAGGAATTCTCCAAGCGTGCTCTCCCTGGCACCACTCCTGGGCCCCTGGGGACCGTCCTGCCCTCCAGGTACTGCTGTCTCCTGCTCAGCTGCAGATGGGGTCCCTAGAAATGACAAAGCTGTGTTCTGTTTTGTCGTGAAAAGAAAATCGCCCCTTTCCCCTGACCCCCAGGATTATTACCCACTTGCCGCGGGCCCCAGGGCAGTGTTGTGTATCCAGGGTCGGCAGGACTTCGGTGAAAGTTCTCTTACAGCACTTTTTCGAATAGGAATCCTGATCCCATGTAACTCAGAAATGAGTCTAATGAAGGCTCAGTTGGGGAACCACGAAATCATTCCCGTCTTCCACTGACCAAGACTTTCTTACTGGGTGGCAGTCTGTGAGGCTGACTTCTGGTCTCAGGAGGAGTTCTCCCAAGTGGTTCCCAATCCTCCTGCCTTCTGGGAGGGAGGCTGACCTCACTGGTTTGCTGTATATGCCCAAAACTGTAATATTCCCAGGGGGTCTGAAATCACGGTTACAAATGCAAAATGGAGATGACATAGAGCCTTATTAAAAAGGTAACTGGGGCGTCCGGGTGGCTCAGTCGTTAAGCATCTGCCTTCGGCTCAGGTCATGATCCCAGGGTCCTGGGATCGAGCCCTGCGTCGGGCTCCCTCCTCGGGGGGGAAGCCTGCCTCTCCCACTCCCGCTGCTTGTGTTCCTGCTCTCGCTACCTCTGTCTCTGTCAAATAAATAAATAAAATCCTTAAAAAAAAAGAGGTAACTGACAGTATTACATGGGATAATATAAATTCTCAGCACATTGCCTGGATCATAGTAAATATGTTGGCTGTTGCCACTATTTTTGATATAGTTTTAAAAAATTATAATGTATGCATTTTGGTCACTAATTAATCTTCAAAACCACATTTTAATGGCACGGTACTATTCCACCATCTGGGAACTATAATGAATTTAACCATTCCTTATTGCTGGCCATGAAAATTGTTTTCAATTTCTAACCAGTATACATTGTGACAATGAGCATTTTTGTACATTAAGTCTTTGTTCCCATATCTGATTTCCCCCCTAGATTCCTAAGACTTAGAATTAGAGGCAAACGTGGGAATAGTTAAAATCTCTTAGCTTCTTTCAGCTCTGTCTGCCAGCTGAGGGGCAACGATATGGGTTCCTCAAACCAGCCTCCTTTTGAGGTAGTTGCTGAAAAGAAATCATTATCGGGGTGCCTCGGTGGTTCATTTGGTTAAGCATCTGCCTTCGGATCAGGTCATGATCCCAGTGTCCTGGGATCAAGTCCCACATTGGGCTCCTTGCTTGGCAGGCTCCTGGCAGGAAACCTGCTTCTCCCTCTGCCTGCCGCTCCCCCTGTTTGTGCTCTCTCTCTGACAAATAAATAAAATCTTAAAAAAAAAAAAAATCATTAGCTTGTGCTTTCCTAATATTTTTAGTCCTGCTGTTGTTTTAGCTTGTCTATCCTCAAGGCAGGGTGGGGGTGTGAGGGTTGGGGGCGGCGGGAGAGGGTGGAGTCGAAATGGCAAGTTCAAAGAGGCGTGTCCAGCCGGCTACCATGTTAAGCTGGATGTCTTGTTCTGTTGTTTAATGGGATCGGCATGCTATGGGCTCTGGGTGCGGCTGTTTTTGTAGGTCCCGAGGGCACTGCTCGACTGCGCTGGTCATGAGAGCTGCAGAGGGCCAAGTTTGCTTTAGCCATGTCCTCCACTTTGCTCCCGGCGCCTGCCTTCCCTGCGGGTGACCATGCTCACTGCTGCACAGTGCCTGAGCTAGGGCCACCTGTATGCTGGGGGCGTTGCTGTTGGTCACTGCTGGGCGGCGAAAGGTGGCGGCCTCTTAGTCCAGGAGCCAAATGGCTCAGCGAGTCGCTTGGGTCAGCTGCCCACATTGAGACAGCTGGGAGAAGAGGAGGGCGTGTGTGGGGCAGAGGGTGAAACTGACCACAGCGGGCACCTCCCCCCTCACCGGCTGGTCCCTCCCCTCCGTCTTCCCTCACTGATGACAGCGGGACACAGACTGTGCCGGCCCCCTGCCGAGTGAGCAGCCCACCCCAGGCAACTGGGGCTTTGGAGTTTTCTGTCTTGTGATATGATATATTTATAACATTATACTTCTAAGCCTAAAATAATTACTACCTGCAATTGTTTACTGGACCCCTGGCTTAAATTATCAGAGAAATAGCTACTTAGAGCTTTGAGATATTTTCTTTTATACCCATTCAAGGCACAAATAAGGCCACGGGGTATTATCAATTTGAATTTGAAAACGAAGAATAAGCAAGGGTTTTTGGTTAAACAGTAAAATACTGATTAAAGTGCATTTTTCCTACCCCTCATGCCATATTTTCTCTGTGGTTAAATCTGTCTTGGTCTAAAACAGTAAAAAAAAAAAAAAAGAGAGAGAGAGAGAGAGGGAAAAGGTAACACTGGAAGATTTGAAATACTATTTTATTAACTAGAGAGACAGAAACCAGGTTACACTTTTGAATATTCAAAGTGGTTGAAACTACAGTTGTGGGGGAAACTCTTTGGTGAAGAAAATTGGAGATGATTATCAAACCATTATAGTTTGAAATTGGTTTATTGGCTTATCATTAATTACATATGAAAGACCCTCAACTTCAGGTGTGTTACACTTGTAATATTTATTTGGAAGTTAGTGGTTCAGAATAAATGTTCATAACAAAATATTCTGGGAAAAATGATTTAATTTACTATATCATCTATTTACCATCCAATGCAATGAAAATAGAAAACAAAAATCTTTACCCTAGTAATAATTATATAAAAATAATTAAATTTAATGTATGAATTATGTAAAAGAGGTGTCCTGGAAGGAAAGTATGTTGGGTAAAACACGAAGATGGAGATGGGCAGTGTGAAATCTGTGAACAAAGCACGGCATTTTCAGGGCTTCTAAGCATCAGAGTGGGGGCGACGAAGAGGAGTGGGTGGTGTCTAGCTTTAAATCAGTAAGGCAGGTGTGCAAGCTGATCTTCTAGAACTCAGGGTGTACTTGTATTTTTGCCACTCCTTTCTGATTCAGGCTCCTCAGCAACCTTGTGAAGCAGAAACCATATGCAACAGAGATGCAGTTCCAATCAATGATTGCAGATTTCGCCCACCTGGTGGAGAAGTGCTGCCAAGCAGAGACGAGTGAAATGTGTTTCCGAGAAGAGGTATCTCTGTCTCCTTGTTATTCTCTTAGCATGCTTAGGATTTACTGAAGTTAAAAAAAAAAAATATGTTCTCCATTCCAATTGTGAGTGAATGCGGAGAAAATCACAGTCTAGATGGATTGGTGTAATCGATTATATTCGGCTTTAGGATATGTTAATATTTATGTTTACTTGAGGAAACTAGCAGTGTTAGACACAGACAGAGATGAATACCAGAGTCATGACACCAGGTGGAGTGGAGACGTTTAGGATTCGGGGTGCGAGGAGGGAGGATGGACTGAAGACTTGGGTAATTGAAGAGAAATGGTGTCCTTGCAATGTCATAAAATTTTAAAGAAATAGCAGTTTAAAAACCTGTCTGGGCAAACTGTAGTTTTGTTCTAGAAATTTCTGGGACACAGTCAGGAATAGTCACCAGATGTAGTTTGGGGCTTAACTAAGGAACCAGTGAAAAGGGTTTCATTTTCTCAGTGGCCAGAAGATCATCAGAATAGGGGTTGAAGAATAGAGAGGAGAGAACAATGACAGAACAGAGTACCTGTGCACACCCACCAAACTGACTCCCAGCAGACTGTTTTCTGGAATTCATCTAATTGCATACAGTTAACAAGTAAATGATTTTCATTTTAAGTAGGAGTTAAATTTCTAAGAATATCATGGTAGGATGTGGCACAGAAAATTCATGTAAATTCATGGAGGGGGGTGCCTGGGTGGCTCAGTCGTTAAGCGTCTGCCTGCGGCTCAGGTCATGATCCCAGGGTCCTGGGATCGAGTCCCACATCGGGCTCCCTGCTCGGCGGGGGGCCTGCTTCTCCCTCTCCCACTCCCCCTGCTTGTGTTCCCTCTCTCGCTGTGTCTCTCTCTGTCAAATAAATAAATAAAATCTTCAAAAAAAAAAAATTCATGGAGGGGACCTAGGACAAACTGCTGTCCCAGGGGCATGAATTGAGGAACAGAAACTCAGAAATAGTAGATTATAGTATCTGAGTAGAGGAATGCAAGACTGTAGGTAAAAAAATAAAGCAGCCTTTATAGTGCAAACAGACTAGGGATGGTTTGGATCAGGGTTAAGTTTAGCAGTGGCCCGGGGAAATGTTTTCGCAGGTACCAATTTTCATGAATCCTTAATTACCTTCAGTGGCTCTTTTCTACCTATTCAGCTAAACTGTACATGTGTCTATGTTAAAAATCATATGTCTATGGTCTAGTCAAGGGCAGGCAAACTACAGCCTTTGGGCTAATCGACTCCACCTCCTGTTTATATAAATAAGGTTGTATTGACACACAGTCGTGCCCATCTATTTACGTATTGTCTACGGCTGCTTTCTGTCTACAACGGCTGAATTAAGAAATTGCAGACTGAGACACAACTGTGACAGAGACTCTATGAACCGCAAAGCCCCAGCTATTGACTATCAGGCTGTTCACAGAAAAAGTTTACTGACCTCCAGACTCGCTGATACACAAAATCGAAGTAATCACCTCTGCTAGAGTCTATTTATTTATTTTAAAGCCTTTTTGCTTTTTGTAAAGCATTCAGAAAACATGTTTCCCCCTGAGTAACAACCCCATAGCCACACAGATCAACACTTTGAAGAAGGGCCTGTGCCTGCGATTTCCCAAGCGAGTTTTCTGGAAGTATTCTTGTTCCTGCATAAGAATATTATTTGCTCAAACTATTACTGGTGAATAGCATGATAGGAAGATTTCTGTGTGTTTTTCCCCACACTTTTTGCCTAACAGCAATCTTTAACTTAATGGTTGGAAAGCCCAACTATTTTCCCCTTCTCTCCCCTCCCCTCTCTACTTTCTTTAGGATTTCTCCTCCAAATTAAAGGAGAAAATAGAAGCTATCTGAAGAATATATCATGTTCATTAAAATTTGCCAGAATTACTTCTTCAGATAAAAATGCTTATTATCTGTAATTATGCACTATCTCTAAAGTTTGGTCAAGTTTACCCTTGGCTGATTATCCTAAGGCAGCGATTCTGAAATGTTAGTGTGCATCAGAATCAATTCCACAGCTTACTAAAACAAAATCAGCATTTTGCACCCACAGGGTGTCTGATTCAGTAGTTCTGGGGAGGGGTCTGCTAATCTGCATTTCTAACAAGTTCCCAGGTGCTGCTGACGCTGCTGGTTTGGGGACCACTTTAAGAATCACTCTGCTAAGGTGCAAGCGGCTAATCATACACTGTTCCCCCTTCCCTCCCCCTATTTCATATGCTCAACTCTCAGTAAGAAGCTGGCACCAAGGACAGTAGCAGAAATAACGAAACAATTGGAAAATAACATATTCATGAAAGAAAGGGAAAGAATTGGGGGATATTAAATGTAAAGATAAGAGACTGGAATATTTAAAAAATAACTTTATGGTGTATGAACAGGCTTAGCAAAAAATGTGGGAATAGATTATCAAACTGTTTTAGAATTTTATTGTCAAGAATTCGTGTCTTTGTACTTCTATGTTTAATAAAGGGTTCTAGATTTGACTATAGTGCAAAGGAATAATAACTAGATACTCCGGGAACCCCCATGGAACCAAGACCCCAGAAGTGAAGAGACTCAGCCAACTGGCAGTCTATGCATGTTCCAAGTTAGCTAGGAAAGACTAACCGCCCCAAGGACCTACAGGCATTTTCTTTGTTTTCTTTTCGGAGATTATAATAGTCGATTATGTGAACCTGTTCTGCCTGTTAAAAGAGAAAGTGGGCAGGTTTGAAGACTGTCTTACTAGCTATGGCTATTGGGAAGACAAAGCATTTTTAGACAAGATGGAAGACATATTTTAAGAAGCAAGCCAAATTCTTTGGAGAAAAAGGGTGGACCAAAGTCGATGTTGGAATGTTGGCAAGAGTACAACTGAAATATATATATAAGAGAAAAATAAGAAATTCAGCTCCACAGGGTGAATTTGGATCATCCAAAGAAAAGGCATCTCACATTCCATGAAATAATAACGTGAATTGTAGACATCAGCAGGTTCAGCAAGAAAATTCAACTCACAGAAATTCTTTCTGCCAGGTTGGTGGGGAATGATAATGATAGCCTGAGATATTTCTCTATCAACCAACAGAATATAATATAGAAGAAAGTAAACATGAATTAACAGAAATGTGGGCAGGTTGAAATAATGCTTTGAAAATAATACATGAAATTTAACAATGGAAAAAAAGCAAGGTTCTACTGTTAGATGTGACTTGACATAGGTTCATGTGGAAAGATGTCAGTTCAGGCTTCTGTGCTTAACAATTTGATGGGTCTACTATCAGAGCTACTGCAATCTTGGATGTGTCTCCAGAGAAAAAACAAGGATCAGATGAAGCAACATGATAATCCCAACCTATGTGGATCAGATCATTCCCGGTTACCATGTTCAGTTTCTTTTTTCTTTTTTTTTTTTTTTAAAGATTTTATTTATTTATTTGAGAGAGAGAGAGAGCATGAGGGGGGGAGGGTCAGAGGCAGAAGCAGACTCCTCGCTGAGCAAGGAGCCCGATGCGGGACTCGATCCTGGGACTCCAGGATCATGACCTGAGCCGAAGGCAGTCGCTTAACAAACTGAGCCACCCAGGCGCCCCATATTCAGTTTCTTATACTACATTACGCACGCTTTGAAAAATTATGTAGGTAATACCTGAACACAGTAGAAGTTCAAGCAGAAGAGCAAGGTGCTTTTCCCATTCCCAAAAGGTAACCACTTTTAAGTTTGCACTTTTAGTTCCAGTGATTACCATCATCACTGTAATAGTTTCTTAAAATATTAAAATCATATAATGAATTTAGTGTACTTACGCTAACTTCAAGAACCTTAACCATAGATGCTTTCTTAATTTATTTAAAAGTATTTCTCATTCTTTTATTGGTTATATTTTATTTCTTGGCCCTTTAATACCAGTCAGCATCTAATGATTCTCCAAAAATAGTTAATGTGTCTAAACTTCCTTTGACTTCCTTGCCAGCTTTTCTTTTTAAAGCTGTATATACTATTACTTCTACATTGTCTGGGTTTATTTATCTGCATGTTAAATATAAGGTTCATATGCTTTGTTCATAAGTGGATGCTAAAAACTGGAAACCATTAAATAGTATATTTAATTGTGTGTTTACTTGGAATATAATTTACATGAGTACCATGAATGGATTGACCAATGGAATGACTTACCCTGTTAAAAGGTGTAGAGATTAAACGAAATCTATTTTCTTACCTAAGCTGCAGAAAATCATGCCACTTTTATTAGTTTTGCACATTTGGACTATGATTCCCTACTATATCCTTCTGTTTTTGAGAGTTACTAATTGTCTTTCTTTTTCTATGTTGGCAAATAAAAAGCACCTACTTTCATCACACCACTACAATGCTTCAGGTTCTCAATAATATAGTTTTTGTAAGAGAATTCTGACTTAATCTTTCAATTGGATCTAGTTATTTCTAGGATTGATTCATGGCTGTCCTGGGTAAATTGGACTATTTCTAAAATACTATTTTATGTTTTTTCTTGGATTATATTATGGTTTGCTGGGCTACATTCTTAACATATAGGTGCATATGTCTCTCTGTCTGTGTTATTTCAGAATGGGCACCTGGCAGATAAACTTTCTGGGTGCTTGCATTTTAAAATATTATTTTGTCTATTATTTGAACAGTATTTTTACTGATATGTCAATGGGAGTTCTTTAGGTGTAAATAATAGGATCAAATTCTGGCTAAGTAAAGATTAGTTTATTGAAAGCATGGTGGTGGCTACAGGAATCTTTAGGAAGTTAGAAAAACAGGCTGGGCAGCAGACAAGAACCAAAAGCAACCCAGAAATCAGTGACTTTCTGGTCTTTTACTGCTGTGGCATATCATCATTTTATTATTCTGAGCTTCTATTTTTGTACTTTGAAATATTGGTCAATATCATACTGATGACTCTCTTTTTTTTTTTCCTCAACGGTTCATCAATATCTCTTATGTTGATTTTTTTCTTTTTAGCATCAATAAGGCTTTCTTCTTTTTTAAATAATATTTTTATCATGATTGCACTGGGATATTGGAAGAGAT